GAAAATGACACCAGAAGTGACTCGTTATTCAGTGGACGGCATAGTATATTAAAGTAGGCAGCGATTGACAGGAATAGTAGAAATTTGTTCCGTTTTTTATTCATTCATTCATTCATTCATTCATTCATTTATATTTTTATTGAATCATAATTGATTACACATATTTTGGGGGTTTAACATTAACATATGTTGATCAAATCAATATTACTAGCATATATATTGTTACAAATCATAATTATTCTTTATGCCCTTTGTCCAGTCTCTCCCCATCCCCCTCTTCCTCCCCCTTCCCCCTTTAATTACCCTAGATTTCTTCCCTCCTTCTGAAAGAGTAATGGTTACTCTGTGGATTTGTTGCCTAGATGATCTGTCCAATGCTGAGTGGTGTGTTCAGGTCCCCAATATTACCATAGAGCACATGTTTCTTCTGTCACTCTGGGGTGGGCATTGTGGAGAGAGACATCCTCTTCTGTTCTTTGGTCTCTGCTGGTGACTCTCTTGTGTCAGTGCACTCCAGTGGCTGGTGGACCATCTGCATGGTAGTTGTGGCATCTATCCGCTTTCATGGCAGCCGTAGTTATTGTGGTAGCTGTGGTGGGCCACCCACATGGAGGTGATGTTTTTGGCATGTTCTTTGGTGCTGGCAGTGTGCCTGATTGTGGCAGAGGGGGTCTGTTCCCCGGCTCCAAGGGTGGTGTGCCTGGGTTGGAACTAATTTTTTGTTCTTTGCTTACTTCTAAAATGGAGAACTTCCTTTGGGAACCAGTACTTGAGCTGTGTGGTTTAGCAAAATTTATAATTTGCTGCTGATTTAATGGTTTTAATGGTTGACTTTACAGGTACTTCTGGCTCTCCAAAGACCCGGTGCACCTGAGTTGTGTAGAAACTCTGATCTGGGCTTGAGTCTTTTCATCAAACTGTACCCTATGCAGTTCCATATTCCTGGTCAGTCTCTACTGAGAGGTCCTTTGCTGATTGGGGTGCCAGTCAGCAGTCCTTGCTGTGCCCCAGTGTTCCCCCATTGGGCCCGTCTACCAGTGCCCATGCTGCAGACACTTCCCATGGGAGAGGCCATGTGCTGGTCCCTTGCAATGACTCACCAGCCTCTGAGTGGCTCCTTTTTTTCAATTGTTCTGGCTCCCCACTCCTGCATGAGTCCACGGGAACCCTATTAGTGGTCTTGCTGGCTGGGGGGCCACCAAAGCTCTCCTCTCCCCTGCTGCGTGCAAGCAACTTCATCCAAAGGGCATAGCTGTGGCTTTTGCTGGCTCCTGCTTCTTGCACTCAGCAGCTCCAGCCTTAAAGTGGCTGCAGCACAAAATGGTCAGAGTGGTTTTTTCTTTCTCTACTTGTGGCTTCTCCTGCCTTCATGCACTCCGTAAGTCTCTCCTCCTCTTCCTCTGAGCTCTAGTGGCCCCAGCTTGGCTGTTGTTGCTTTTTTGTAGTTATAAATTGGTTGATTTGTGGGAGAGAGTAATGCTGGGGACAGTCTATTCCGCCATCTTGACTGGAAGCCTCCAATAATAGAAATATGACTGCCCATGCTGCAGACACTTCCCATGGGAGAGGCCATGTGCTGGTCCCTTGCAATGACTCACCAGCCTCTGAGTGGCTCCTTTTTTTCAGTTGTTCTGGCTCCCCACTCCTGCATGAGTCCACAGGAACCCTATTAGTGGTCTTGCTGGCTGGGGGGCCACCAAAGCTCTCCTCTCCCCTGCTGCGTGCAAGCAACTTCATCCAAAGGGCATAGCTGTGGCTTTTGCTGGCTCCTGCTTCTTGCACTCAGCAGCTCCAGCCTTAAAGTGGCTGCAGCACAAAATGGTCAGAGTGGTTTTTTCTTTCTCTACTTGTGGCTTCTCCTGCCTTCATGCACTCCGTAAGTCTCTCCTCCTCTTCCCCTGAGCTCTAGTGGCCCCAGCTTGGCTGTTGTTGCTTTTTTGTAGTTATAAATTGGTTGATTTGTGGGAGAGAGTAATGCTGGGGACAGTCTATTCCGCCATCTTGACTGGAAGCCTCCAATAATAGAAATATGAACAGAAGTGCAATGAGAGAACATAGAAGGTCCCGATTAATTTCATATGAGAGAATAGGATGGAAAGGCCTATGAAGGAGGGGGCTTGATAAGCTGCTTATTAGTAGCAATAATAAAATATTAAGTGGAGAGGAAATTTGATATTTAAAGTGATATTTAAGGATTGCTTGTATATTTAAGTATATCTCACCTCCCTGGTTATCATATGCAATCAGCCTGTGTTAATCGTGTTATAATTAGAAGGGGAGAAGGGGTAGAGGTTATTTTGCATAGACCTACCTCCAAGTTTGCTGTAAGTGTTGTGGACATGTTCATTCATTTTACATTTCCTGGGCTCTATGTCTTTTCACATCCTCTGCCTCGGCTTATCTCAGGAAACACCCATCAGTTTTGGGGAATTTGGGGGAGTGACCAAAGATTTAGAAGTTATATTGAGCCTACTGAGAATAGGAGCTGGCAGGATGAAGAATTGAAACTTAACTTTTCGTGATGCTAAGTAGAGGTGACTTCCCTTTTGATAAACCATTGACAATTTGATTTCCAGTATGACTCAGTGACCATCTGTTTGTGTTGCTTTTGCCCAAGGAAAAAAGTGTAATGGAATATTTATGAAAGCTTTTGTCTTCAGTGGATCTACAAATACATTTGTATTTCTTTATCATTACTATTTTAGTTGGTTTCAGACATTTTAAGAAAAGGCTGTCTGCCTATCCTGACCTACTATAAATTAAAAGAATGTTTTTCTTGAAGCAAAAGATGGTTCTCTTCCTCCATAGTAGCCATAATTATAAGATCATTAATAATTGTGACTTTATTTCCCTTTGATCTATTTTAATGTGACCTAGAACAACATAGGACTGTGTTTCAAAGTAGCTTGGTTGGTCACTCTTTTTAAAAAAATTTCTTTCAGGGTGGACTGATAAACTTCGAGAAAAGGAGAAGGGTAAGTAGAGGTCTTGGCTATGGTTTTTCATTTCACTTCCTCTGTAAATCAAAAAGCGAAAGAAGTGGGGAGCCCAGTTGTTTTGTATGGGCAGAAAAAAATGAATTAGCACTTATTGAACATTTATTACATACCATTATGCTTGGCGTGTTCCTGTACTTTATCCCCCAAGAGCCCTGTGAGGGGGGTTATCTCCTCAGCCCAAAGGTGAAGAAACCAGATATTTGGACTGAATAGGGTTCAAGTCCTAGTCCTGTCCTGCTACTTCAAAGTACACATTTTTTTTTTCCCCTTTTTGTCTTTTTTCGTGACCGGCAACGGATCGCAACCCTCAGTGTCGCGCCCGTACCGGACCGGGACCGGCAACGGGATCGCAACCCTTGGTGTTGCTCCTGCACCTTGCTCAGCCAGTGAGCGGCCGGTCTGTATGTGGGATCCGAACCCTCGGCAGGAGCGCCACCGCACTCCCAAGCAGAGCACTGTAGCAGTGTGCCACCGGGCCGGCCCCACATTTCTTTTTAATTGTACATATTTATGGGGTACAGAATGATATTTTGATGTATGTATACACTGTGTAATGATCAAATCAGGGAAATTAGCATATGCTTTACCACAAACATTTATCATTTCTTTGTGTTGAGAACATTTGAACTTTCTCTTGTGTGTTTGAAACTTTTGTATATTTGAACTTCTGTGTATTTGCAGATACACAATAGATTGTATATACAGTGAACAAAGATACAATAAATATGAATTATTGTTAATTATAGTCACCGAGCACTCTACAACACTAGAACTTAGTCTTCCTGTCTAGCTGTAAGTTTGTACCCATTAACCAGCCTCTCCCTAGCCTCTCTACCCCCTTCCCAGCCTCTACTAACCACAATTCTACTCTACTTCAGTGGCAAAGCTCACATTTTTTTCTCTTACCCCCTCTTTATGTCCTTCTTTATAATTAGCTTCAGCAAAAACAGGTTTACCCCTGTAGTTAATAACAATGTATTGTATACTTGAAAATTGCTGAGAGTAGGTTTTTTTGTGTGTGTGTGGCTGGCCTGTAAGGAGATCCCGACTCTTGATCTTGGTGTTATCAGCACCACGCTCTCCCAAGTGAGCCACCAGCCAGCCCCTAAGAGAGTAGATTTTTTAAGTGTTCTCGCCACAAATAAGTATGTGAATTCATATGCTCATTAGCTTCATTAGCCATTTCACAGTGTATACATATTTACATCATGTTGTACACCATGACTATGTACGATTTTTATTTGTCAATTCAAAGAAGAAACTGGTTTACTTTATTAGGGAAAAAGTTTTCCTAAGAGTAAATGAGAGAGAATGGTTAATTAAGATGGTTAACACTTGTCAGTCCATCTGAGAGAGGAAAGGAAATGGTCTTCACTGTTAGGTATAGTTAATTATTCTTTTCCTTTCCTGTCAGCATAGGAAGGGGTCTTCAGCATCGATTTGAATCTTTCTGTGGATAGAATACTTCTGAACTATGCTAAAAAAAAAGATAAAACAGCTTTGAAATTTTGCTATGGTTTTTGTGTTCTAACACTATATTTAAATAGATATTTAAAAGATTCAGGGAAAACATGAGTGAGCAAAATAACAGCTTTACTCCATAGCAGTCTCATTGATCTTTAGTCATTCATTCATTCTCTCATTCCATAAAGATTGATCATATACCCAACATGGGCGTTATGGGGATTGAGGCAGAGAAAAGTCAGAGCTCCCTGGCCTCCTAAAGTTCACAGTCCGTGAGAGAGGTAGACAAATAAATAGGCAATTATAATGCAACCTGATAAGGGCTTGTGAGCAGTAGTAGTAGATATTAGAGAAGCATATAGGAAGGGAATCTATCGCCAACATTTAGGGCCAGAGAAACTTCCAGGAGGAAACGAGATCAGACTTAAAACCAAAAGACTATAGAGGAGCTAACCATGCTGAGCTCATTAGTAACAAGATGCCAACCTGGACAAATGCAAATTTTCTGCCCCTGGTAGAGAATACTCCCTTCTTTAGCATGATGATAAATATTCCTTGAGGATACTGAGACCAAGGACTGAGATCACTGGATGGAAAGTTGAGACCCAGAGAACCTGACAATTCTTGAGATAACTTCTGTCATGTCCTGTAGTGATAAAAATATTTTTTCAGTTGTTGCTTCCACAGTTACCCATCTTTGTCCTTTAACTTCAGAATAACCCTGGATGGTAATCTCTTTCCTTTAAGGAGTAGGATGTTAAACTTCTGGAAAGTTTGAGTATAAAACCCAAACCTAAGCTTATACCCGTTGCTGGCTTACAAAAAAATCTTCATTGAAACATCTAAAGAAGTATAAATAATTTTGGACATAATTATGTACTTGCTTCTCTTGTGAGCTTTAAAAGAGTTCATTAAATGATTTACTGGTATAGTAAAAACTGAAGGATTCAGGAAATCTAAACATTCAAGTTTATGAGACCCTAGACTGTTTAAATGTCCAACACTACCGAAACTTATTTATTGGGGGGTAAGGGTTGAAGAAGATGGGGATGAAGAACATGGGAGCTTCCTGACTTAAACTATTTGTTTTATCTTTTAAGAAATAGAATAGAAATTTTTCATATTTTTTTTGAAATACTTAAAACCGTAAAAAATAACTTCTTTATCTTAAGGATGAAAGTGGAAAAGAGGAAAAAGAAGCCACTGTGACTTTTTGGATTATTTGGGAGCTTATTTTATTCATATAAATCATGTTTTCAAGAGAAAGGAGAATAAAAATTGAAGCATATAAGGACTTCAGAGATTCAGAGTTAGAATTTTTAAGAGTTATTTAGCTATTTTATTTCTAAGGAAGCAGTATTTCAGAGGCCTCCTAGATGGTTTCCTCCATCTTCTGTCCTAAGGTGGAGTGTTGTCATGTGTATGTTTGGTTAGCATTATTATTCATTCTTTTTTTTTTTTTTTTGGTGTCTGTCTGCTTTAGGAATTTGAAGTGATTGCCCAAATAAAACTCTTACAGTCTGCCTGCAACAGCTATTGCATGACCCCAGACCAAAAGTTCATACAGTGGTTCCAGAGGCAGCAGCTCCTAACAGAGGAGGAGAGGTAGGCTGACCTGTTGTCCATCGGGGGGGACGGAGGTGTTGGTGGGAGCATGCTGCATCCAGCAACTCATTGGGTCATTTTTCAACAACATTGTTTTTTCATTTTTTGTGGCTGGTTGGTATGTATTCAACAACTTTTTAGTGAGCAGCTACTTAGGTCCTTGGCTTTCAGAGGAGCAGGTGCAGCAGGAAAGGATGGCATCAGAAGACATACTCTCAGATTTGTGCTCGGCCACTTTCTTTGTAACCTTGAATGAGTCATCTATTCTTTATCTTCAGGATGCTCATCTGTAAAATGTTTGTGCGGCTTAAATAGAGTCATGTTGTTGGAATGCTTATCATTACCATTATTATCATCATCACCACGTTTTTCTTTTTTTTCTTTTTTTTTCTTCTTCTTCTTTTTTTTTTTTTTCAAAAAGGTGACCAGTAAGGGGATCTTAACCCTTGCCTTGGTGTTGTCAGCACCATGCTCAGCAGTGAGCTAACCGGCCATCCCTATATGGGATCCGAACCCGTGGCCTTGGTGTTATCAGCACCACACTCTCCCGAGTGAGCCACAGGCCGGCCCCATCACCACGTTTTTCACTATTACTAATTGCTGTTAGCTTTCAGGGAGCTTTTCATCTACGGAGAGGGACAGACTCATGAAAAATTGAACTGTGATGGGGAGCTAAAGTCCTACAGAACTACGGGCAGGAACAATTCATTTGGCCAAGGAGGGAAGTGGGGGGGGAATAGGAAGCTATGAAGGCATTAACATCTAGGCTGGGCTGTGAAGGAGAGAGAAGATTTCACCAGCAGAACTGGAGAAGAACATTCCAGACAGAGAAAGAACACAAGCAAAGGTCTGACATGCTTGGCATTTGGAAGAACAGTGATGACTCTGGTGTGGCTGGGACAGGAGGGACAGGTTTTAAAATCACCAAGCGGTTGATGGGCATAGAAAGGTACATTAACTCTAGTGCTTTGAATGTTGGCCCAGCAGAGGTTCAGTCCTTACCCTGTAGTCTGGTGGTTAGCAGATTAGTCTGCAGGCCATATGTGGTCCACCCCCTGTTTTTACATTTTTAAATGGCTGGTAAAAAAGAAAAACACAAAAGAAGAATAATGTTTTGTGACATGGGATAGTTATTTGAAATTCAAATTTTAGTATACATAAATAGTTTTATTGGAACATAGCCCATTCATTTGCATCTTATGTATGATTGCTTTCATGCTTTAAAGACAGTTGAGTAGTTGCAACAGAGACCGTATGGCCGCAGAGCTTAAAATACTTACTGTCTGGTTCTTTACAGAAAAAGTTCGCTGATCTCTGTTATAGACCAGGGAATTTTCTTGAAAGTTTACCTTAAGGGAGAGTGAAATTGAAAGCAAAGTAAGTATTTTACCAGTGAGGAAAGTGAGGTTTAGATATGTATTGTAACTAGTCAGTGACAGCATTTGGATTGAAACTCAGGTCTGCCTACCTACAACCCGAGCTCAGAAGGTGGTGGTATAATGTTCAGTATCCTTCTCTGCCTACCCGGTAGCCAAACACATCTCCTAGCCAGAGCTACGAGCCTTCATAAAAGGCATTTAAAATCAGATATAAATCCTCTTGTGCTTGTGGCAGTTATAGCTTCCTGTTATATGGATGTCTGAATCTGGAGCATTTTTAGTTTAGGATGTTTTAGCAATTAAAAATCATATTTATGTATCTTTATCAATAATATAACTGCCTATGCCTATTCATTAAAGATGAGATAATTTACAAAAATCTCTTCTTTCATTTCCTTTAGATGAAAGTAAGCCACTGGCTCAGGTGCACAAACACACCTACAAAGTGGTTGGAAGGAGGTGGAAGGCAAGAAATGGGAGGGGCAGGAGGAGGGAGTCTCCCCCAGACTGGAAGTGGGATGAGAGTGCTCAGGAGACAGTGCAGGCAGCTTGCGCTGCGGCCGGCGTGCATGCATTCCTGTATTTGAGGCATGAAGAACTGCGCCAGTCAGTGGAGGGACCAGGGGAGGAGGCACATGACGTAAATTGGTGAAATCTGGTCATTAAGTCAGCACCCTCTGACATTTACCACAGAACAAAACACTGCGTATCTTTACTCTGAATAATCAGAGCCTTCCTCTAAGACGAAACTGATACACCATATGAATTTAAACTGGTCTTCTCATTCTCCCACTTGGACCTCACGATCGCTCTTACCCCTCTCTTTCCCAGCTATGCCCTGTCGTGTGAGATCGAAGCAGCTGCAGATGCCAGCACCACCTCGCCCAAGCCTCGGAAGAGCATGGTGAAAAGGCTCAGCCTGTGAGTGTCATCAGAGTAGGGAGAGGAAACGTATTCAACAGGGTCCCCTTGAGCCAGGGAGAAAGTAAAGGACACTCCAGTCATTTGCTGAATAGTTTATCTTTCTGTCCTGAACTCAGAACATTTGCTAGATCCATTCATCCTTCTCCATGCCTGTCTGTGGTAAGAACCACTGTCACCTTTGCCTGGGCTACTCCAGGAATGTCCTTACTGTCTCCCAGCTGCTGCTTTACCCCAACGATTCATTCTCTACCCAATAGGCAGGTGGTCTTTTAAAATGTACACCAGATTATGTTGCTTCCTTGCTTTAAAACTCCAATGGTTTTATTGTAAGATAAAATCCATGTTCCTTACCCTAGTTTACTAGGCCTTACGTGATCCACCCCCAACCTCCTCTTTCTTACAACAGCCCTCTCTGTTCACCAAGACCCAGCCACGCTGGTCTTCTGGTCATCCTCAAACACTCCAGCTGTTCCTGCTTCAGGGCCTCTGCTCTAGCTGTTCCTGGAACGCCTTTTCTTCAAGGCTAGCTCCTTTGGATACTGGCAAAAGTATTGCTTCCTGAGAGAGAGCCCTCTCTGATGTTGCTGTCTACCCTGATCGTTTTATTCATTCTGGCTGTTTCCACCAGTGGAATGTAAGCAACCCAGAAACAGGCACCTTGTTTGTCAAACTCATGGCTGTATGCCCGGCTGAGTGCCAGGCATATGAGAGGCCCTCCCGACCTGACTTCACAGCACCTGTCTCTCTTTGAGTATGATCCAAAGTCCTTGCAGTAGCCCACAAGGCCCTTTGGGATCTGAGGCATCACTTGACCCCACCTGTCCCATGCCTGTCTGTCCCCATCTTTCCCTGTTCACTCTGCTGTTCGCATTCCAGCCCCCAGACCTCCCTGAACACACTGGACACACTCTTTTTGCCTCTTCTTCTGCCTCTTCCCCAAATAGCCACATGGCTCACTCCCTTGCATCCTTCAGATGTTTGCAGAAATGTCACTTTCTCAGTGAGCCTTCCCTGACCACCTCATTTAATACCATAACTGGCCCACCTTACCCGCTCTTGGTGCCCTCTCTCACTCTCCCCTTCTCCGAGTTTATCCATCACCTTTACCTCCATCTGACATACTGTATGTTATGGGTGTGTGTTTAGATAGAATGCAAACTCTATGAAGGTAGGCATTTATGTCTCTTTTTTGTTTGCGTATTGCTGTATCCCTAGAACCTAGAATGGTACCTGGCACACAGTAGATGATTAATTAGTATTTATTGAATGAATAAATTGAGGCATGTGCCAGGACTGTTCTAAGAACAATACATGTATTTCTCATCCAATCCATGAAATAACCTAAGAGATAAGTCCTACCTTTATACCCATTTTATAAACCAGGAAACTGAGGCACAGACAGTGAATACCAAGCTAGTAATTGAAGGATCTGGATACAAACCTAAGATCTGGCTCTAGAGCTAAGTTGATAACCTTTCTACCATATTGCCTCTTGGAAAAATTCTTCCTAAAGGAACAGAGGAAGAAAATATGCAATTGGGGTTAAAAAGTGAAACGGGAGAAGAGGAAGGAGGGAAGGAAGGGAGAAAAGGAGGAAGAGAGAAAGGGCGAAGAGAAAGGAAGGAAGGGATAAAGAGTAAGAGAGATGTAGTTTTAATTACACCCTGCGCTTTGATTGTAGCAATTTTTGTAGAACCTTAAGAGAACTTAGTCTCCGCTGTGAAGTTGATCTCTTAGACATTAGATTCTTAAAGACATTAGACTAATGAATCTAATAAAAGCTAAGGAAGTTAGTTCAAGGAAACAGATTATAATTTGATTAATAAACTTGACCTTCTCT